TTTAGTTTTGGAAAAAATAATTTTTAAAATTCTTTAAAAGACATTTATTTACATTTTTAAAGGGAATTTATTTGAGAAACATAAAAAAAAAACACAACATAATACTTCATTGGCCACTTTATAAAATATAATAGCAATACTGTTTGAATATTTTGCAAGCTTAAACACTAATGCTAATGCTGAGGATAACAGGTATGAGCAGACAAAGCATATTCATGAAGAAATAGGTCAAAAAGCAAAATGCCTGACACATCACTGTGAATGGTAATTGTGTGCACCCAGCTGTATGACTGAAGTCATCTGAAATACCATAATCAAAAGCCATAATGGATACTTACCTTGCAGGGGAGTTACCATGATCACGAAGGTGGTTTTCCCAGGATGAGGCATATCCATTACACTGCGATGTGCTGACCCCTGCGATTTTCCCAGATGTGGGAAACTAGACTGCATAATTTGTGGTAGCAGGGGACTGCATTCTTACTCTTCCCCTCTTAAAAGAAAAAAGGCGGGGGGGAAGCCATAATGGGTTACCATTACATTTGCAGCTCTCCAAAGTTCTGAGATCTCAAGAATTTTATCTTTCACAAATGTAGATATTCAAAAAGGACATCGCTTCATTCATTGAAGTTTTGGTGTTTTTAATGTACCTGCACTTATAATATTTATAAAGTCAACATTGTGATAATATACTTTTATAGAGTCATATTTGCAAAAAAATATATAAATTAGAACTCTCTAAAAGTCTTACATAATTTATGCCTATAATATTGGAAATGCTAACCTGAAATACACAGCATAGCTAATTGTAAAAAATGAAAAAAAAAATTTAACATGTGAGGAAATACTACAGGGATAGATTATGGGTATTTATATAAAGGTAGTCCATAAGAGCAGTCTGACTTTCATGATCTTTATATTTTAAATTATACATTGTGATGAATAGCTGTATTTTTTCCTTTTGGGCAAAGCTGTCCTTAGAGAATATGTTCACATTTTCTATATGATGCTTCTCTTTTTGAAATTCTTCTACAATTTCATATATGCCATGAGTACTCCCTATTTAATTTTCCAATCATTGGTTTGTTTGATGTGCTTTTACATCATATGGGTAATGCACAGACCATTCCACATGCACTTGTTCAGATCACATATTTGGTAATCAAATAGCAACACTTGCTTAAATGTCTTCTTATCCTTCTGTGCACGTACTTAAAACCAGTCAGTCAAACACCTCTAGCTTCTTTAGGCACATGTGATTTTAATTCATTAAGAGCCCCTGGAATCTCATTATCTGGAAGGAATGCCAATGCAGATAAATGATGGCACTTTTAATCTGAAGTTTTAATTGTTTCTATATGGTGTGGCAAATATCTCATCTGAATTTTTTCCCAAGTGTATTGGGCTTGGAAAAAACAAGCCTTATTGATAACACTTTGAAATTCCCTCTTTGATCAAACTTAATTCCAAAACTGTCTTTACCATTTAGAGATTTCATTGAACTCCATTTTCTTCTCCAAAGTCTATGAAATTTTCAAATAAGAGTTTAAAAGTATTTCATTTTTTCTAGTCATTAATACATACATGGATAAGTTCTAGAACCTCCAGACCCTACAGGGGCATGAATGGCATATGTTTGATTAAACAAACAAAAACCTAATGGGGATAGCTTTGAAATTGTCATCTATTAACCAAAGTGAAGCACAAACTAGTTTTTCTGTGTTAGATTTAGTGGTAAATGTAAGTGGTTAGGGATTTGACTATTTTCCATGAAGTCAAAGACCTAACCAGGAATAGTTCAACAACAGAGGAACCTCTGTGTCAGCAAGCATCTTTGGTTCAGAAGGTCACTAAGCCTTTCCAATTCTTTTTTCTTTCCTGAAGGGATGCATGGGGCTATGTATGAAGGGGCAGAAATAGTACACAATTAAATAACTTGGCAACTGTTCTATGGATAAATCAAAAACACACTGAAGCCCTTCCCCAGAGTTTGATTTTCTTACTCTTATATAGTCTTTTAGTTCTATAGCTGCTTTATTTAGTTTTTGTTTGGGGGATTTATCCAGTAGTGAGAGAGGTATGTTAAAATTACCCAGTATTATTGTGTTGTGGTCTATTTGTTTCTCATAATTGAGAAGGGTTTGTTTGATGTACATAGATGCTCCATTGTTTGGGGCATAAATATTTACAATTTTTTTATTTTATTTATTTACTTATTTTTTATTTTTGTTTTATCTTGACATATCATACATTTGAATCAGATGGGATATAATTTTTCATTTTTCTGAGTGTACAGGTTGCAGAATTACATTGGTCATGCAGTCACGAATATTTACAATTATTATGTCTTGTTGATGTACAATTCCCTTAAGCAGTATGAAATGTCCTTCTTTTTCCTTTTCTGATTAACTTTGGCTTGAAGTCCACTTTTTCTGATATGAGGATAGAAACCCCTGCTTGTTTACAAGATCCATGTGAATGATATTTATATAGCCTTTTTTAAAAAATGGGAATTGTGATTTTTAGGACTTTAACATTTGGGGTTTTAATCTTTTGGGCTTCTGATTTGGAGGACTTTGATGTTTGGGAATTTCAGCATTTGAAATTATGGCATTCATGATCTTATCCTTTGGGAACCACACTCCATTGTGTGTATGGTGTGCATGTTATCTTAGTTATTGAGCCAGTCTTCTATGCTTAGATACTTGGGTAGTTTCTAGTATTCTGCCATAACAATCTTGTACTGGATAACCTGTGCATTTGTAATTTAATATCACTGGGGTTGTGTAGGTGGAGTATGAATGAAGGTTGATACATATTGCCAGGTTCCCTTAATTGGGATTATACCTTTGGATATTATACCTTTAGAATTTTTTTAACATTTTTTTTTTTTTTACATTTTTACCAGTGATATATGGGAGTGACTATTTCTCAAAAGTCACTTCTGAATTTTTGTCAATTTGATGAGTGAGAAACAGAAAAGTTTTGATTCTAATTGAATGTCTTTTGATGTGGTTAAGGGCCATGTTTATATCTTTTTATGAATTATTTGTATTTTTTGTCCACTTTTCTATAGAATTTTGGTCATTTTTTTCTTCAGTTTTTAAAGATTCTTCATAAATTAGGGATATTAACCAATTGTGATTTACATTCTGAATATTTTATTCTAGTTTGTCATATCTTTGACTTTGTAGTGCCTTTTTATCATGTATTTTAAAATTTTTACCTAGTCAAATATATCAAACTTACCTGTCTCTGGGTTTTTTTGTTTGTTTTTTCGTTTGGTACCGGGATTGAACTCAGGGGCACTCAACCATTGAGCCACATCTCCAGCCCTATTTTGTATTTTATGTAGAGACAGGGTCTCACTGAGTTGCTTAGTGCCTGGCTGTTGCTGAGGCTGGCTTTGAACTCGTGATCCTGCTGCCTCAGCCTCCCGAGCCTCTGGGATTTCAGACGTGCTCTGGGATTACAGGCACGCACCAGCTGCCTCTGATTCTTATGCTTGTTTGTTTTGGGGGTTTTGTTTTTCCCTCTAGGATCTGGGAATTGAACCCATGGGTGTTCTACCACTGAGATACATCCCCAGCTGTTTTTTAAATCTTGAAACAGAGTTCACTAAGTTACCTAGGCTGGCCTCAAACTTGTGATCCTCCTGCCTCAGCCTCCTAAGTAGCTCTGTTTACAGACGTATGCCACCATGCCCAGGCTACCTCTGGGGTTTAAGTCATAGTTAGAAAAGTCTTTTCCTACACTGAGACGAAAGAAATTTACCAGTTTTTTTCTAGTACTTGTTGTTAGACAGCTTTCCATGGTTATGACCTGACAAGAACAACTTTGAGGAGGAAAAACTTATTTTGGGCCCATATAGGTTCAGTCCATGCTTGACTGACCTCACTGCTGTGGGCCAGAGGTAAGGCAGAACACCATGGTGGAGGGTATGGTAGAGAAAACTGCTTGCCTCATGGCATCCAGGTAGCAGGAAGAAAGTGAGCCAGCCAGGGACAAAGTATAATCCCCAAGGACATACCCACAGTGACATATTTGTTCCAACCACACCCACCTATCTACAGTTACCACCAAGTAATCCACTTAAATTATTAATCCATCAAATGAATTAATCCACTAACCAGACTACAACTCCCATAATCCAATAATTTCACCACCAGACATGCCTGCATTACCACATGAGGTTTTTCTGGGGACATCTGTATATCACTTGTATAATTCTATTTTTTTTTTTTTTACATGTTGATTTCTTATGATTGGAGCTTATTCTTTTTTTTCGAGATGGGGGATACTGGGAATTGAACTCAAGGGTACTCAACCACTGAGCCACATCCCCAGCCCTTTTTAGTATTTTATTCAGAGACAGGATCTCACTGAGTTGCTTAGTGCCTGGCTTTTGCTGAGACTGGCTTTGAACTCTTGATCCTGTTGCCTCAGTCTCACTGGGATTACAGGCATGTGCTAATGTGCCAGGCTTGGAGTTTATTCTTATATTTTGCATAAGGAATGCATCTAATTTTACATTTTTCAAAATAGGTATCCATTTGACCCAATACTGTTTATTAAAAAGGTTTTTTGCCTGGTGATTTGAGATGACACTTTCATCATATTCTTGCACATAATTAGGTCTGTCTCTGCACTGCTTATTCTGTTTCACCTATCTGACTCTTCATGTGCCAGTATCACACTGTTTTAATGTTAGAGGACCTTGTGCCATACCAGGCAAGAGCTCCATATGAGAATTTTAAAGTCAATACCTTAGGTCTATAAAAAAAAGCTCACTGGAATTTTTATGGGGATCACATTCATAAATTTGAGTATAATTAAGATACTTATAGCAAAAATGTATAACTAGCAATGGTTCTTCAGTGACTATAATTTATAGATTAGATTTTTTAAAAATATATAGACTCTAAGAAACATTTTTTTCACATAATTCTAAAATAATATTATAAGATTAAATATTGACTAGTGTTTAATTTTTATTTTAGATTTCCATGGTATCAGTAATTCATATTCCTGATAAGACTTATAAACTTTCCTGCAGAATATTGTATCAATATTTACTTCTGGCCCAAGGTCAATTTCATGATCTGAAGGTAAGTTGTACCCTGTTGTCTTATCTCTCCCATTTTTGTTTATGGAGCTTCAAAGAACGGCTGTTTACAAAGAGATAATTATATTTTTCAGTTAGTTATTATAGAAGGTAACTGTTCTTTGCTAATGGATTTGCTAGCTCACAAGTTTTGAGTAGCTCTATGACCCCCAGATATAAAGAGTAATTGTCATTTATAGTTATTTTTACACTTGTTCCTTTGATTTTCAGCAACTTTTCATGTCTGCAAATAATAATTCACCTCCTTCCAGCAATCCCTCTGCTGAAGAAAAAAATGCAGATCGAAGTTTGTTGGAAAAGGCTGGACTGTCTGAAAGTGAAGTGGAGCTGTCTGAAGAGAACAGCAAGGACTGTGTGGTTTGCCAGAATGGAAGTGTGAACTGGGTGCTATTGCCCTGCAGGCACACGTGCCTGTGTGACGGCTGTGTCAAGTATTTTCAGCAGTGCCCAATGTGCAGGCAGTTTGTGCAGGAATCTTTTGCACTTTGCAGTCAGAAAGAGCAAGATAAAGACAAACTGAAAACTCTTTGAAGATGTTGTTACAACTGTAAAAGTACACTTTCTACCTAAGATGCAGAAATTTGGGTTCTTAGAATTAATCGTAACATGGAATCTACAGTATTGACCATAAAAGAAAATTCTATTTTAACTTCTTATTTGTACAGTACATGGATGATGAAAATTAATTATTCCTTCCTATTCAGTATGGTGAACGTTGGAATATGATCTATGATAATACATAAAAATTCATTTAACTCTTGAGAAGAATATAAACATTTGGCCTTTTTTCTACTAGAATATTTCATTTGTTGATTAGAAAAATCATCCTGGAAAGCAGCCTATCCAAAATTTTAGATGGTAAAAGTCTCAGGATTGCTAACTGTTTTCCCTTTGACGTAATCTGGAGTGATATTAGGAAAAATTAGGAGTTAGAAAGGGCTTCTAATTTTAAATCCTTCCTTGAAATATGCTTTTATAAATGTCCATCTATTTGGTTTCTAATTTCTCTTATCATCATAGTTACCAAATACAAGTCTTAATTTTTTAATATAGGTTCTTAAACCATAAATGCAAAATATAGTCATTGAGTGTTCTCAGTGTATCATGGATTAAAATGATACTCATCTAAAGGAGAAAGATATATAAAACCTGGGTAATAAAGCTTCTGGGATAATTAAATTTATTAGCTCATTTGTCAAATGTGATTAGAATAGTAGAATATGCTGTACCAGGAAAGCTTTGTGAGACTCTCAATGCCTTACCTTAGATTTCCTTCTGCATGGCAAATCTATCCCAAACTGGAGAGGTTTTAGAGCTAGAAAAATCAGTAAAAGATCAAATAACTATTTTTTTCCCCAGGGTATTTTTATTCCAATAAACCCAGTATCCCTCTGAATAATAAATTATTTTGTTTATCCCTGTTTTATCCTTAAGAGAGTCAAGGAACTGATAAGCCAAAAAGCCCCTTCCCCAGTTCTCCTCAAAATGGCTAAGAAAAACAAGGGAAATCAGAGATTCCTAAGTCCTTAGTGAAAATTACCTTCAATTCACCAAGGCAAGTAGACCATGGCAAGTGAACTATAACATTCAGGGAAATTTTCAAGTCTTTTTTGTCCTATTTATATTAAAAATAATGCCTTACCTTTTATATCAGTGTTTTTAAATATCATTTCATTCCAATCAGATATTGATAACACTCTCAAGAAGATCTTGTTCTCTGTTTTATAAGCCAAATCAAACTTTCATCTGCATTCAATAGCTATGTAATAAATACCTTTTAGGGTCTGGGGTACAAAGGATCAGGCAAGGCTCTTGACCTTAAAATATTTGTGCCTAAAAAAGAGTATTGATGGATAGAAACACATCCATCCCCACCCTTGGAAATTCCTAAGGCTCTTTGCAACTCTGCCAGTGGAAGCAGCCAGCCCAAACTGTAGTCTCTATTGCACTTGGCCCACAAATTAACAATGAATCCTGAAAACTCACTTTGGAAATTGGTGGTTACTCAGATCATTTTCTCTGTCCTGGCTTGTACCTAAACTGTCCTAGATACATAGTTGCTTTCTCAAGGGTTACCCTGAATCTTACTCCATTTTTTATACTAAAATATACATGACATAAAATTTACCATTTTAACCATTTTTAAGGGTAAAACTCAGTGACATTAAGTACAGTCACATTATTGTGCAACCATCACCACAATGTATTTATAAAACTTTATCATACCAACTGAAACTTGGAACTTGTTAAACCCTAACCCCCCTTCTGCCTTCCCCCTAGCATGTGCTAAACACCATCCTCCTTTCCATGAATTTTTTTCTAGGGCCTCATGTAAGTAGAATTATATAATATTTGTCCTTTCCTGACTGGCTTATTTTACTTAGCATAACGTTTCCAGGGTTTATCCATGTTGTACCTTGCATCTGAATTTCACTCCTTTTAAGGAGCCTTTTAATATAACTCTCATATTTTATTCTACATTTTGATATCCATTTATCCAGTATTTTTCTTAACTCTTAAAGGTGATTTTCCTTCTGCTCCTCTTGCAGCTAAAGTTATTGTTTTTCCTGCCCTTTGTTGCACTTAATATGAAGAATTTGATAGGCATCAAATAAAAACAAGGATAGATGGCCCCCCAACTTGCAATGATTCCACTTAATGATTTTGAATTTGACAGTGCTGCAAAAGTGATGAACATTTAGTAGATTGTACTTGAAGATTTAGATTTTTTCTTCTCCTAGGCCAATGATATACAAAATGATACTCTCCTATAATACTGGGCATCTGCAAGAAGCCACAGCTTCCAGTCAGCCACACCATCTGAAGGTAAACAACTGACAGTCTGCTGTGTGCTGTGTTGCTAAATTAAGATGCTCAGTAGGGTAGATGTATGCAATGCATTTTTTTATTTACAATATTTTCAACTCACTTATGTTTATCAGGATATAACCCTTTCATAAGGACCCTCTGTACACTGACTTCTAGAGGTTTACGTCTGAATTTGCCAGTAGCAGTGAATAGTGACATTGTGTGAGACAATCTGGAAAAGCATTTTATTTGAATGGATTATTAGAAATATAAAATGTTTAGTTTACATAGGCTAGTTGCTACAAAAATCTCAACCAGGGCTATATTCCAGCAGACTTGACAAGTGACTGGCCACTTCCTCCCTCAGCGACTCTTTCTTTCTTCCCAACTTGGTGCCTGCTGAGAATTCTTAATGTCTAAACCAGATCCAAGGAAGGAACTTAAAAACTGTTACCTGAGGACTTGACACAAGTCATTGAATTATCTCCAATTGGGTTCTCCTACTTTTTAAGCCTTACCATTAGTTATGGAATGAAGGGTTTTTCTTGGCTCATGGGAATTTGAGGAATCAACATAAGATTTGGGAAAAGTAGGTGGAAGTGACGTCAGCCTCCTGTACTCTATAGTAACTCAGTCCTGCCTCAGCTTATCCCTATCCCTCTGGATAATTCCCCAGCTCCATTTCCTAGATCTTGAACACTGACCACCCCCTGCCACAACTGTATCTCTATCTTTCCATGTATGTATGCACACCTGCTATAGTATATTCTTCTAAATCTTTTCTTCCTTGTCACCATGACTTCTATTTCCCAGGTCCTGAGTATTCTAAAGATGCATTAACTTGCTCCTGGGTTCCCTGTTCAGCTATTTCAAATGGTTTTCAGCTTATCTTGTTTTCTTAACTTCTCTACTCCACCTGCCTTACCAACCCACAAACTTGGTTTAACTGTGTTATATTAAAACAAAACTCAAGTGACTTTACCAATTAGTAGAATTCACTACAAAGCCAAGCTATTTAGTTTCATCCAGATCTCCAGCCCTGCTCAACAAGTGCTTTTATTTATGTATTATTATTTGTCCCAGTGGACCTCCTACCAAACTCTCAGTTTTTCCAAATCTCTTCTACTCTTCTCAACTTACATATTCCACCACTGCTGTATCAGTCTCTGTGAAAAACTTCAAGAGGTAGTATGGTGTGAGGTGATGATGGGCCCAAATTGCTTGTCACCTTGGACAAATTAGTTAACCTCACTCTACTTCAGTTTCCTCATCTATAAGATGGTGATAATAGAACCTACCTACAGGCTGTTGAGAGGCTTGTGTCAGTTAATATGTGTAAAATGCTTAGGCTGGGTATAGCACAGAGTAAGCCCTATGTGTGATAGGTTTTACTGTCCTTACTTCAAAGCCAGTAGACATTCTTTTCTTTCTTCCCCAAGAGAAGAGCATACTCTGCCTCCTTTTGAGACTCTACTTGTGTTCTTGCTTCCTGAACTCTTTGTGCATTCAATAATTACATGATTATTGAATGTCAAAGATATCCCTTGTTTGGGCATTTCTGATACAGCTGTGAATAAAACAAGTGAAAACACTTCCCTGTGGGGTCCACATTCTAGTAGACAGATCACTTAGTAAAAGATACTGTGTATCAAGTGAAGATAACTGCTATGGAGAAAACCACAGCTGGGATGGATGTGTTGGGCCTGTGGAAGATGGAGGTGAGGTAGTGTTTCAAATATGGGGAAAGCCTCCTTAAGAATAAAGACCTGAAGGAGGCCAGGAAGTAAGCCATGAGTTTATCTTCATAAGAGATCTTCATCTTAATCTTGACCCTTACTAGGCCAAGGGTTGCAATATACTGAAATGGAGACAATTAGAAAAACACAGGTTTAGAGGAAAAGAGGAATTTTGTTTTTATTCAGTTTTAAATGACAATTGGAAATCCAAGTAGAGATGCCATGTAAGCAGGTGAATATACAATGGAGTTCAGAGGAGAGGTCCAGCTGATATAAAATTGGGAGTCATCAGCATGGTATTTAAAGCCAGAAGACTGTATAGGAGTTAGCATAGTCAATCCATGGAGTGGACTGATATTTTGAATATTCTAATATTCAGGGGGATTAAAGAGGAATCAATAGACTGAGAAGGAATCAACAAAGCGGAAAACCATAAGAATGGTCTTTACGATGATCTATTAGTACTTAGATGACCACCATTTTATTATGTTCACAGTTTCTGTAGTCAGGTATAAGAACAGGGTATGATGTAGGTAGCCTTGCCTGGGACTTAGTTGGGGAGACCTAAATGGCTAAGAGTGACTTAAAGGCTGGAGGGCTAGAATCATCTGAAGGCTTCTTCACTCAGGTATTTGGACCTTGGGCTATGATGACTCAGACAGTGTCTGAGTAAACACAGTTGCTCAAAAGGAGGTAAAACACCCCTGAGTTAAATTTTCTGTATGAAAACAAAAACCCTGTGACCATTAAATTATCTCCAATTCCCCCAACCCTTCCTGGCCACACATTTTCCATTTGATTTGTTCTTTGACACATCTGGTGGCCTCAGAGAAATCAAACTTCCTAAATGAGGGATCTAGAGCTCCAAGAGCAAGTGTTTGCAATGACCTTGGCAAAAGCTGCATGGCCTTTTTTTTTTTTTTTTTTTTAAAGCAACAGAGTTTATATACCATACAATCCCCCCACATTCAAAGTGTATCATTAAATAGTTTTAATATATTCCCAAAGCTGTACTACCATCTCTGAAGTCAATTTTAGAATATTACTGAAATTGGAATTTTAGTAATTAAGTTTGGGATATTACTACTCCAAAAAAGAAACCCAGTAGCCAGGTGTGGTAGTGCACACCTGTAATCCCAGTGACTTGTTCCTGAGCAACTTAGTAAGACTCTGTCTCAAAATTAAAAATAAAAGGAGCTCGAGATGTAGCTCAGTGGTAAAACACCCCTGGGCTAAATCTTCTGTATTAATTTCAAAAAACCTGTGACCATTAAATTACCTCCAATTCCCCCATTCCTTCCTGGCCACAGGCAAGCACTAGTCTACTTTCTGCCTTTATAGATTACCCTGTTCATTTCATGGAAAGGAATCACATGGGATCATAAGTAAAATCACACAATTTGTGGTCTTTTACAATTGGTTTCTTATAATGTTTTCAAAGTTCATTCATATTATCACATAAATCAATACTTCATTCCTTTTTATTGCCAAATTCTATTTCATTGTATATCTATGCCACATTGAATTTTTTCACCAAATTGCTCATTGCTGAGTATAGAAATACAACTGATTTTATATGGACATTGTGTGCTTCAAATTTGCTAAACTTGTTTGCTAGTTCTAATAGTTTTTTAGTGGATTGCTTATACCTTTTCTGTATGCAAGATCATGTCATATGCAAAAAGAGTTTCCTTTACTTCTTCCTTTCTAATGTGGATGCATTTCATTTTCCTGCTTAACTTTCCTGGATAGAATTTCCCTGGAAATTAAATAGAAGAGGGCAGAATGGACATCCTTGTGTTGCACCTAGTCAGTCTTAGGATGCTTTCTCTTTCATAACCTAGTCTTGGAAGTCACATAGCACCATTTCCAATGTGTCCTATTGGTCAAAGCAGTCACAAGACCATCCAGATTCAAGGGAAGCAGACAGATTTCATCTCTTGATGGAAGGAATAGTAAAGAATTTTCAATTATAGTTTAAGCCACCACCACTAAGTTTCCTAGACACCAAGTGAAAATTTCATAGAGGAGAGAGTGATCTATGTTGAATGATATTGTTTTTGTGAGGCCTGAGAATTGACCATTGGATTTGGCAATGCAGATGTGATTTGTGGTCTGGTTAGAAACAATTTTGGTGGTATGTGTAGCAAAAACTTGTTTGAGATGAAGTCAGGAGAGTTTTGGAGGAGGGGAATTGGAGGCAGCAAATAGAAACAATTCTTTCGAGGATTTTGTTATAAAGGAGAGTAGGAAAATTTTGTGGTAACCTTAGGGGGATACTGAGTTCACCAGAATTTAATTTTAAGGTGGGAGCAAATGGCAGTATGTTTAAATGCCTGTGAGAATGCTTCAGTGGAAAGGGGAAAAATTGAGGATGCTGGGGATAATAGGAACAATTGCTGGAATGGTGTCTGTGAGAAACAAAAGAATAACATGTACTT